TTTTCTGTCTCCATGGTTTTGCCTTTTCCAGAATATCATCTAGTTGGAATCAAACACTGTGTGGTCTATTCATATTGGCTTCTTTCACTTGGTAAAATGCATTTAAGTTTCCTTCATGTATTTTCATGGCTTGACAGATTATATCTTTTTAGTGTTGAAGAAAATTTCATTGTCTGGATATACTACAGTTTATTTATCTACTTACTTGCTGAAGGACATCTTGATTGCTTCCAAGTTTTTGCAATTATGAATAAAGTTGCTATAAACATCTGTGTGCTTCTGCCTTTCTTGCTTTGCTTTGAAAGTTTTCTTTATTTCCAAGATAAATTTCAAAAATTTAATAGTGCAATTTTCTTCTAGTTTGGGATTTTACTTTTTGCTTCTATTTTATAACACATATGAAAGTATTTTAGGGTTAGAATATGTAGTGATGTTTTTCTCTACCTGTCTACTGAGTGATTTTTTAATGGCAAGTGTTACATTTTGCCCTTCTTTGAACTCTACCTAAGATGTAGAAAAATGTTTGGCATGCACATGACACTATGTACTTACTGTCATGATACTATTTGCTTTAAAAAATATTAAGCAGTACCACTAACATGGAGAAGGCAATGGCACCCCACTCTAGTACCCTTGCCTGGAAAATCCCATGGATGGAGGAGCCTGGTAGGCTGTGGTCCATGGGGTTGCTAAGAGTCAGACACGACTGAGCGACGTCACTTTCACTTTTCACTTTCATGCATTGGAGAAGGAAATGGCAACCCACTCCAGTGTTCTTGCCTGGAGAATCCCAGGGACAGCGGAGCCTGGTGGGCTGCCATCTATGGGTCCGTGCAGAGTCGGGCACGACTGAAGCGACTTAGCAGCAGCAGCAACCACTAACATGTTGGGAGTGCTAACAGTGATAATAGCTACCATTTATGGGCTGGGTCAATCTATAAACTTTATTGTTTTTGTTTTTTAGTTGCTCAGTCCTGTCTGACTCTTTTGCAACCTCATGGACTGTAGCCTGCCAAGCTCCTCTGTCACTGAGATTTTCCAGGCAAGAATACTGGAATGGGTTGCCATTTCCTACTTCAGCGGATTTTCCTTACCCAGGGATCAAATCCAAATCTCCTGCTAGGTGAGCGGATCTTTACCACTGAGCCACCAGGGAAGCCCCCACATTTAAAATTCAACAATCCTACAAGGTGTGTAATATTGTCTCTATTTTATACATAAGAGAATGGATGATTTTGAGATCACACAGCTTAAAAGTGGCAAAGCTGTGACCTGAACACAAGTCAGCATATCTTCAAAATGCCAGAGTTTCCAGCTCCCAGTGCTGTCGGTAACAGTGGAAAGAAGAGGCGAATGATGCTTGGAAGTATGGAGGAACCTCTTTCTGGTCCACTAACTGGAATTTATAGTTCTAAAGCTTCCGTCTCAGCATCAAATATTTTATTGAATTGGATTTAGACCTCTTCACTGTCGACTGAGCCCGATGAGGTAAGACTTGGTAAATGCTACGTGTTGGCTTCTGTCCCAGTGCAGGGAATGCACTTTACAGTGGTAATTTCCTGCTAATTGGTTGTAACTAATGCACTACCATTCTGGAATTTGTCACTTACAAAAATGTGCCTTAGCAAATGGACCATGGTCTCCACCTAAAAGCACATTTACTCATGCTAGAAACAGCGTGGTGAGAGGCAGGTGGGATGAAGGATGTGACTGAGTGGGCAGCAGGTGACCTGTGGACCCCCGCCTTCCACGAAGTCTTTTTCGGATGAGGAAGAATGGCTGGAAGAACAGGCATCAGGAATCAGAGGACAACAGAAGAGGCAAGGTTGGGGCCAAAGTCAGTGGGTGTCTCCTGGGCTAGTCTTCTGTCTCCAGAGGTTGTAAGTAAAACAGAGAAGCCTGGTTACACCTGCCATTTCAAAATGTGCTCTGTGGAGGTTGCCTGGGGTCTCAGAGCTAGAATGGATGAATTCTCTGCTCTGCTCAACCCTGCACCTCTCTACATCACCCTTTTTACTCCTTAGGTTTCCAAGGCGAGCAACATTCAAACCATGGGGAGTGAGGCTGCCCTGGGAAGGCTCTGGCGCTGACAATCTGAGATCTTATTTTTTCCCTCCCGCCTCCAGCAGCCCCGCTCTGCTCCCGTATTCGTGCTCTGATGCAGGCTGGCATGGCAGGCACAGAGCCCGCTTAGCTGCTTGTGCGGTTTCCTAGGAACCCCCGCACCAGGCAGGGCCAAAGAGAGGGCAGGGAGGCTGGCAACAAAGAGAAGCCGGTGGAAGTAACCAGGGTCAGTCTCAGCCCCCGGGGGAGCAGGGGGACAGATGCCTGCCACTGCCAGCCCGTCCCCTGTGAGAGGAGCTGGTGCAGCAGAGGGAGGCTGGTGGCATCTGTGTCCCCATGAGGCACTCCTGGTGCTGGCATGGGCCGAGGGCATGGGGAGTGCCCGCCTGCCCACCCCAGCTGGCCGGCTTCAAGCCATGCCAACGGCAGTTGGGGGCATCTGTTCTGGGCTGGGGGACATCTGATGCCTGGTAGGGTGGGCCAGGAGCCTTGAGGGAAAGGAATGCAAGACAGTCCAGAAACGGAGGTGAAATGAAACTTTCAGAGAGACTGGCACCTTGAGCCTTCGCTTTCTTAAAATGTCAATGAATTCATCTCTCTGCTCTGCGTCTCAGTCTCCCCCCACCCCGCTTTCTCTCTCTCTCTCATCTCTGTTCTACTGAGATGTGATTTTCATTACCCCAGGGATCTTAAGATTTCCACACCAATCATAGTAAAATTGCATAAGAAGGCTTGATTTTACCACTGTGGATTTCACTGCCTTGGGGCTAGGCTGAAATCCACAAGGTTGAAAGAGCTGGTCTTTATAGGAGAGACAGACCAGGGAGAGGAAGAGAGACAGAGAAAGGGAGGCAGGGAGAGGAAGACAGAGAGGGAGAGAGAGGACTGATGAACTCAGAAAAATCCATGGGAATCTCATTTCTGTCTTTTATGAGCTAGTGGAAAATCAGCAAATGACTTTGCCTGTCTCAGTGTCACGTTCCACATCTGTTAAACAGGGATTTAGATTAATTTTAGATTCCTAAAGCTAATAGTAGTATCTACTTTGCAGATCTATTTTGAGAATTGTTAGAAGAGAACCTGCTTAGTCTAACCTTTCCAAAATGTGCTTCTAGATGGTGGCTGTAATGGTGCACAGGTTAACACAGACTCTGATGTTGTCTTCACCTGTGTGGCTCTGTGATCGTGACTTTATTGTGTTCTGTTCCTTCTAGGCAGACAGAACTCACCACATACATGTGGTGTCATGTCAGCTTGTCATTTTCCTGGGCTGGTTAAAAAAGGTCAAAGAAAATAAATACAGAGTAAAAGTTAATAGAGGTAATTGTCTGAAAAGGCAGTCATCTACCTTCAAATTCTTATCATTTGTCACTATCTTTTCCCATCCAAATTCCAGCCTTCCCACAAAACCTTTCCAAATCGAGCAGAAGTCAGACTTTGACATCCCCAGAATGTAAGTTCCACAACCATCATTCATGCCTCCCCTGGTTTTGGACACCAGTTCTGGTCCAGACTGGCTTTTCTTGTCCTGCAAAGCCAGTCTGTTGGACTTCCTGGTTCTGAAATCCATTCATCCCAGGTAAGTACTGCGACTCTCTCCTTCCATTCTGAGACCATGGTTTCTATACTAAAATTCAGAGACCTGGTCTGATAACTGAAGGAGAAATGAAGAGACCTTTGGAGTCGAAATGGTTTGTGGCGGCCCATTCTCAGGTTCTTTCTGATGATATTTGGATGTGTAGATCTAATACTTTTTCAAAAATGAATATTTTCTTTTTTTTTTTTTTTAGTTGGAAGCCCTTTGGTTCTGAGCACTGGAGGAAATGAAGAGGATATGTGAAGTTGTTACCTGAATGGACTGCTTGAAACTCTCATTAATTGAGAACACAAGGGACCAGACAAAACAGATTTTGAGTTAATTAATTTGCAGTGTCTAAAAGCATTGCTGAGAAATACAGGACATCTTTTTGGCTAAGAAATCCCCATTCATTATGTCACCTGATGTAGTATTAAGTCAAATGGTAAATGGCAGTGATATTTCCTATATTTGGGGGTAAATGGTAGGTGATTTGGGAAATACATTATTTGATTCTTGGCCATCTGGACAAAATTTATCAGATTCTAGCCTATGGTACCCTGACAGCTCGCAAGTTCTGTTCTTTAATAACTTTTTTCCTTTCCATGTCAATCCTGAGTGATCTAGTGGCTAACCAGACATCCCATGTTTGTCTTAAATTCCTAAAGATTCAATAGGCTTTCCCAAAGGCTCAGCGATAACGAATTCGCCTGCCAGTGCAGGAGATGCAGGTTTGATCTCTGGATCAGGAAGATCCCCTGGAAGAGAAAATAGCAACCCACTCCAGTATTCTCGCCTGGGAAATCCCATGGACAGAGGAGCCTGGTGGGCTACAGTCCCTGGGGTCACAGAAGAGCTGGACACAGCTGAGTGATTCAGAGAGAGAGGCAGTGTTCAATACTATCTTTCCACTTGACGATCTTTCTTTTTGCCTCAAACATGCCTTGTGTTCATCAGTGAGGAGCGTGGCTTCTTCACCGTGCATGGTGGCCCTTCTGCGTTGCCTTCCGTTTTCAGCTCCCAGGCTCCCAGACGCTGGCTGCCTCTGACCTGGGCTGCAGCTGCCCCAGTAGCATGGCTCAGGGTGAGTTCTGGTCTCCCTGCTCCTGGCACATGTGCTGAGACCCACAAGGAGTTTTTACGTCTGTGCTTTTTAGCCTTTCCTCTTTGGGTTAGAGTCATCTTAACACAGGGCCTTGAGCAGGTTAGGCTGTAATGAAATACTCAATATATAATGGGGGTGGGAGGAGGGCAGTGTGATGGGATGCTGGGGGTGAGCTGGCCCCGTGTCCCCCCAGCTTCCATAAAACGCTGCTCCTCCCTCTTGGTTGGGGTCTCCTCTCTCCCCTGCTCCAGCCGCTCACAGCTGAGTCTCCACATGGTCCAGAGCTGGGCTGAGGCCTGGGTCAGCCCATTCCCCAGTGCTCCCTCCGGGATGGGGCTTGGCTTGTTGGAAGGACGTGTCTCTGTCCCCTCGCGGGAACGGTGAGTCCTCCACGTCAGCCCCTGCCTCCCATTTCCACAACCCCTGCTCCTGGATCCTGGAGCAATAGGATGCCGTAAAGACGGGCTCAAACACAGTCAGTGTGGAATGAAGAGTAAAATCTTGCAGAGCCCGTGACTGCTGGGTGGACAGGATGCTCCGTCTATGACACTGAGCCTCCCTGTGCTCTGTGTCACCAACCGTTCCCCTCCGCCTCCTTCTCATCTGTGTCATCTTCCTCTCCAGCAGCCTGTGACTGTAGCTGCCTCTCCCCACTTGGTCACCGGACCGCTCAGCCAACCCCTCGGGCTGCTGGAGGGCCATGTGCCTGGTCCCGCTCGCCTGCTCGCCTCACACGGGCAATACCTGCCGCCGTGGAGCAGTCTGGAGGAGCCTTGTTGCTGCCTGAAGTATCAAGTCCCCGTGGAGGGGAGTCCAGAGCCTGGGCTCATGTGCAGTGGTCCCACAGCCCACCAGATGGAGGGTGTGCCAGCGAGGTCCTGGAACCAGCCCAAAGCTAAAGAATGACCCCTGACCCTGCTGAGCGCTAACCTTGGTTAACTGGTACTGCGCTGGCTTTTGTTTGTGTCCGGACTCGCGGAGTGTTGAGCACAGATCTCTATCTTTCCTTGGCTCTTCCCCTGACCACAACAGGGAGCAGACTTGTGACCATCTTTCTCTGCTACGACTTTACGCCCAGCCCTCAGCTCTGCTGAGGCTCCTCTCTGTCCTCCGCATCACTGCCCAGGGTCTCCCCTCTGCCTCAGTGCCCGCAGACATGTCCCCAGGGCGCTGTGTTGTCTACACTACAGCATCTGGGAGGCTCTAAAGATCCCAGCGGTCCAGAATCCTCTGGGTTCCTTGAAGATGAACAAACTATCAGGAAACCTGGGCAGATGAATTTACCCATGGGACAAAGGGACAGGCTGTTTGTAATTAGGGGTCTCCTGCAAACTCCTGAAATCTGGGTTGATGCAGCTGAGAACTCTGCCCTCAGGAGGGAAGTGGGTTAAAACACACACTCAGAAAACAGGCTAAGTTTGGGCACCGGAAGCTCTTAGACAATGTCAATGACACGGACAAGATGCAAGCATCTCACTCCGTTCCAGATGCCACGTGCACATGGAGGGGCTCGTGCATATTACCTGATCTTCATAAAACCGCCCAAGGGCGATGAAGCTGATAAGCAGCGCTCTGACCTGGTTGAGAGGGTTACGGAGCCGGCCCTTATCACACCACTACCGAGCTGGGAGACGTCCAGTCATCCTGGCTCCATTCCTGGTGCAGGTCATCCCTTCTAAGGACCATGTGGTCTGTACCCAACAAGAACCAGCTCCAGATATACCAGCCCTCTTCACAGCAGGGTTGCTGACTGATCTCACCTTTTTAAGTTGGGATCTCATCTTGAGTTTCCAGGTTTTCCCAGCTTTGAATGTATGCTTATCCTCTCCATCAGATCTCTCCCTGGAGGACACGTTTGTCTTTTTTGATCCAGTGCTGTCTGATCCACCTCCACAAGTGGCTGGGCTCCCCCTGGCGACATCTGGCTTCTACTCATACAGGGCAGTTTGTTAAATGTGCCTGGAGGTTCTCCTCTTGAAATTTCAAGCGGTAAGTAAGACAATCATCTTTACCTATGGAGTACCTGCCTCCATACACCCATTGTGGTAATTAGTATGGTAAAATCAATATGGTGGAAACCAAAGGATGGCCTGATAAGATAGAAGGACGCCATGGCTGGGCTTTGAATCAACCTTGGCATGTGCTGGGTTGCGGGCGCTGAGATGGTATGGTAGAGGTATTTTGAGAGCAGTTTGTAATGTGCTGATAGATTATTATTTTAAGAAAAATACAGGGAATGCTCATGTTCTCTGTGGCTCTAAAGGGAAGAACTAAACCTTATTTTTGCACAGTGGAGAGTACAATCTTCAGCTCATTATAAGTTTCATTCAACACTGGGGAACTCTATTTTGAAGTGAGTTACCCATCACTGGACTATCACGTCCTGAGTACATTGTGGGTGGTTGTCTTGGGATAAGATGACCTCAGATGTTACTTTGAACTCTGAGATCCCATGATTATTTTCTAGAAGCATTCAGTGGAAAATAAGCCGTCAAAGGGCAAGGTGTCAGGAGATTTATTTCATTTTTTATCAATTTTTATCAAGGAAAACAGAGCCACTCTGAGTTAGGGAGAAACACAATTTAAAATATTATGTATACAACTAATAATTCATTCTGTGTGTTGTTCAGTCGCTAAGTGGTATCTGACTCTTTGTGACCCCATAGACTGCAACACTCCAGGCTTGCCTGTCTTTCACTATCTCCTAGAGTTTGCTCAAATTCATGTCCATTGAGTTGGTGGTATAATAATTCATATCCTGAATAAAAATTTTAAAATATTCTATAACCTCATCATCTTCATATAATAACTATTTTCATTGCTTTATAGTCACAGAAATCATATAATTTTCAGGGTTCATGATGTTTGTGCAGTTGTTATCATGGAGCATAGAAGATTAGGTAAAAATCAAGTTTTTATGGGGAGAGGGGAGAAGAGGGTGAGATAAAAAAAATCAAGTGTTTTTGACCTTCCCTTCAGATGATTAGGAATAGAATCCTTCCTTAGCTTCATTTTATGTGAGAATTAATAATATTTAAAATCATGTTTGTGTGTGTGTGTGTGTGTGCACTCAGTCACTAAATTGTGTCCAACTCTCTGAGACCTCATGGACTCTAGGCCTCCAGGCTCCTCTGTCCATGGGATTTCCCAGGCAAGAATACTGGAGCGGGTTGCCATTTCCTCCTCCAGGGGATCGTCCCAACCCAGGGATCGAACCCATGTCTCCAGCATCTCCTGCATTGGGAGGTAGATTCTTTACCCCTGAGTCACCTGGGAAGCCCACTTAAAATCATAACGTGTTAATAAACGTTTGTATATCAATAATGGAATTCTGTTCACACAGTTAAGAATAAATGCTGTTCCTCTTTAGATGTTTCTGCTTCCTGCTCACAGTCTTTTTTGGTCCTATGTTATCTACTGCATATTTTTATGGATGAGCAGTCCACGGCTGGGCCTCGGAGTGACTGAAAACCGCGTGAAATTATATAGAAGATTTGGCAAGAGTGTCCATGCTATTGTTTTCCCTGGAGGAGAGTTCGGAGCGTTTTCATTAGTGTTCCCCTTATGTGCCACTGCACCCAGACTGAAGTCCAAGCTTCTCAGAGCCTCTCAGGAAGGACACGCCACACAGCCTCCACTCCCTGGGCTTTCGCTGCCCCCACTTTCCTCTGTGATGGAGGAGGAAGCAGAGTGGCGCCATCTGTCAGCACCTGTGGAGACTCACGTCAGTCTGGCCAGCTGCCGCGGCTGCTCCTTCGAGGCTGGTATCACGACTCCCAGCACCTGACGAGGAGAAAACTAAGACCTGGAAACGTGACTGGTCCAGAGACACAGGTCAGGAGGTGGGAGAGACATTTAAATGCTGTGCTTCATTCATCACACAGCAGAGCGCTTCCACAGGCTGTGAAACTCCGCTGGTTGGCTCACGAGCAAGCGAATGCTAATAATAGATAATATTTATTGAGTTTTCACCCTGTACACTCTGTGTATACTTCAGTCCCTCGATCATCTCACGAGGGAGGGTTTCTAAACCGCTAATGCGATGCCTATTGACCGATAATGGAACGATGCCCGTCCCTGAGTTAAGTAACTTGCTTAACACAGCAGCTCAGCAGTGGGGGAGTCAGCATTTGACACAGGGAATGGGTTCATCTTTTTTAACTGTGATGCTATGGAATCCTTGATTTTTCTTTGATTTTTTTTCCTTTTAAATTAATTCCTTCGGAGTATAGGGCTTCCCTGGTGGCTCAGATGGTAAAGCATCTGCCTGCAATGCGGGACACCCAGGTTTGATCCCTGGGTTGGGAAGATCCCCTGGAGAAGGAAATGGCAACCCACTCCAGTATTCTCGCCTGGAAAATTCCATGGAGGGAGGAGCCTGGTGGGCTACAGTCCATGGGGTTGCAAACAGTCAGACACGACTGAGCGACTTCACTTTGCTAGAGTTGCCTTGCAGCGCTGTGCCAGTTTCCACTGTACGTGTACACGTGGCCCCGCCTTCCTGGATTTCTTCCCCGTTCAGGTCACCACAGAGCATTGAGTACAGTCCCTGTTCTCTACAGTAGGTTCCCGTTAGTTTTCTGTTTTATACATAGTATCAATAGTTTCCAATCTTCTTGGTCTCCTAACACATTTGCCACATGAAAAGTAAATTAGGAGCCCATTCATTACAAATATGAGCTCCAAAGAGCCGTGCCAAAGCCTTTCTAGCAGTAATCTCTGTAGGACTTGACACAAGAGGAGACTCTATTTATAAACCTTGCTCATAGCTGCTTACAGCTCATACCTAAGGTATCCCAGGTTGACAATTCCCAGATGGACTTGACTACTTTTTTCCCACCATTCCTCAAGGTAGACAGTGACAGCAACAATTGGAAAGATCCTCATCTCATGTAATTTAGGAGCAGAGATGGTCTGAAGGGCTCGCGGATTTAACTACAGGATGCAAAGTGGGTGATGCACAGCACTTGACTGACAACTGATGGGAACCTCAATTGGGTATCCTGTTTTTATCTCCTGAAATCATGCTGACGAACCTGAAGGGTGATTTTGATAGGATGATCATAAAACAGACACTCTTCTTTAACTGCCAGGGTAAATTACCAGGTCATTTTCATGGAAGCTTGTGTCAATGTAACAGGATCTCTTTTCCCATCTTTCTTTCTTTCTTTTTTTCCCTTCTATCCTTTCAAGGTGGTCGGTCTGCTAGTAGGATGGCGAGAGGAACAGATGACTGCTCTTTGATCAGGTGTTTCCTGAGGATGCAGTTTCTCGTTTGCAGCCCGCAGCCTTCTGAGAAGGCTGGTGATGAGTCTGTGCTTCCCAAACATGCAGACCTGCCCTGTGTGGAGAGTGATTTTCAAGCCAAAAGGGGAAACATGTCCTGGGCTTGCTGAGATGTCCCCAGTCGAGTTTTTAGTTTGCTAGTTGGTCATCCAGAAGATTTGATCCATGATGGAAACTTAAGGTAACTTTATTCTCTTTTATTTTGGCCTTTCAGATCATTGAAACACAAAAGCATAAGACTTCATTCCTCCCTGGAAACCACAGCAACCCCTCGTTCCATGCACACCACTCCCTTGACCCCACACAGCACCACTGGACCCCCCCCCCCCCCACAGGCTCTACCAGGGGCCGCAACCTGTTCCTCTTGACCATGCTAGGTTTGGTCTTGACCTTGGTTGGGAGGTTGCCTCAGCAGC